ATCATTGATATTCCTAATACTTCTGACATGGCATGTACTGTACTAACTAGTATATAGGATGAGCTACTTGTGAAATATCATTGATATTCCTAATACTTCTGACAAAGCATGAACTGTACTAACTAGTTTATAGGATGAGATACTTGTGAAATATCATTGATATTCCAAATACTTCTGACATGGCATGTACTGTACTTACTAGTTAAGTCTCCCAAACGAAGTTTGGGAAGACTTATTGTTTTTGCTCAGTTCTTATTATTATTATTATTCTTCTTCCTCTTCCTCTTCCGCCGCTTTTAAATTTGAACTTGTCCGCACCCGTTCTCCAAAACCGCTAGTCAGATTAACTTAGGGTTTCACAATATGTTAGACTAACATGTCTAGTGGTGCAATCAGGGTTTTGTTTGTGCAATAGGGTTTATAAAGGGGTACTTTGAGGGGCGAAAAGAAAGGAGGGTTTTACTATAGAACCCTATGGGATTTTATTTTTCAAAATTTTCAAATGATTATAAATTGAAAACCGTTTGTGATAGACACAATCTTTTTAATTGAAAATGTTCTAAATGATAAAGCACATTTAATGAAATACAGGGTTAGTCCCCAGGGGTCACCCCCACCCCCTGCCATTTAAGAAAAACCTAATATCTTGTAAGTGGTCAAGATCCCCACCCCTAAACCATATATATTCTGGTTTGTCATGCTAAGATAGTTTGAATGATATACAGGGTTAGTCCCCAGGGGTCATCCCGACCCCCTGCCATTTGAGAAAGTTCTAATATCTTGTAAATGGTTGAGATCCCCACCCCTAAACCATATATATTCTGGTTTGTCATTATAAAGCAAATCAAATGAAATACAGGGGTAGTCCCCAGGGGTCACCCCACCCCCTGCCATTTAAGAAAAACCTAATATCTTGTAAGTGGTCAAGATCCCCACCCCTAAACCATATATATTCTGGTTTGTCATGCAAAGATGGTTTGAATGATATACAGGGTTAGTCCCCAGGGGTCACCGCCACCCCCTGCCATTTAAGAAAAACCTAATATCTTGTAAGTGGTCAAGATCCCCACCCCTAAACCATATATATTCTGGTTTGTCATGCAAAGATGGTTTGAATGATATACAGGGTTAGTCTACAGGGGTCACCCCCACCCCCTGCCAATTAAGAAAGTTCTAATATCTTGTAAGTGGTCAAGATCCCCACCCCTAAACCATATATATTCTGGTTTGTCATGCAAAGATGGGTTTGAATGATATACAGGGTTAGTCCCCAGGGGTCACACCCACCGCCTGCCATTTAAAAAGTTCTAATATCTTGTAAGTGGTCAAGATCCCCACCCCTAAACCATATATATTCTGGTTTGTCATGCAAAGGTGGTTTGAATGATTTACAGGGTTAGTCCCCAGGGGTCATCCCCCACCCCCTGCCATTTGAGAAAGTTCTAATATCTTGTAAATGGTCGAGATCCCCACCCCTAAACCATATATATTCCTGTTTGTCATGTCTCGAACATTTCAATGACATATAGGGTCAGTCCCCAGGGGTTCCCCCCACCCCCAATGTTCTAATATCTTGTAAATGGTCGAGATCCCCACCCCTAAACCATATATATTCCTGTTCGTCATGTCTCTAACATTTGAATGACGTATAGGGTCAGTCCCCAGGGGTTCCCCCCACCCCCAATGTTCTAGTATCTTGTAAGTGGTCGAGATCCCCACCCCTAAACCATACATATTCTGGTTTGTCATGCAAAGATGGTTTGAATGATATACAGGGTTAGTCCCCAGGGGTCACACCCACCGCCTGCCATTTAAAAAGTTCTAATATCTTGTAAGTGGTCAAGATCCCCACCCCTAAACCATATATATTCTGGTTTGTCATGCAAAGATGGTTTGAATGATTTACAGGATTAGTCCCCAGGGGTCATCCCCCACCCCCTGCCATTTGAGAAAGTTCTAATATCTTGTAAATGGTCGAGATCCCCACCCCTAAACCATATATATTCCTGTTTGTCATGTCTCGAACATTTGAATGACATATAGGGTCAGTCCCCAGGGGCTCCCCCCACCCCCAATGTTCTAATATCTTGTAAATGGTCGAGATCCCCACCCCTAAACCATATATATTCCTGTTCGTCATGTCTCGAACATTTGAATGACGTATAGGGTCAGTCCCCAGGGGTTCCCCCCACCCCCAATGTTCTAGTATCTTGTAAGTGGTCGAGATCCCCACCCCTAAACCATATATATTCTGGTTTGTCATGCCAAGATGATTTGAATGATATACAGGGTTAGTCCCCAGGCATCACTAATGCATATAACTTTACCAAACCAATTTTCACTGGACTTTGCCCAATGTCAGACGACCCTGGGAATTACGAATTATGGGAGCTTCGTTTGGGAGACTTCGTAACAGCATCCTGTTACAATCATTTCTTGTTTATAGGATGAGATAATTGTGAAATATCATTGATATTCCTAATACTTCTGACATGGCATGTACTGTACTTACTAGTTTACAGGATGAGATACTTGTGAAATATCATTGATATTCCTAATACTTCTGACATGGAATGTACTGTACTTACTAGTTTATAGGATGAGATACTTGTGAATTATCATTGATATTCCGAATACTTCTGACATGGCAAGAACTCACTGCCACTGTATACAGGATGGGTGTACTGGTGAAATATCATTGTCATTTCAACTACTGCTGTTATTGCAAGTACTTTACTAATTTGTATACAGGATGAGCTAATGTTGAAATATCATTGATATTCCTGATACTTCCGACATGTCAAATACTGTACTAACTAGAACACAGGATGGGTGTACTGGTGAAATATCATTGATATTCCTGATATTGCTTACATGACACTTACTGTACTAACTAGTATACAGAATGAGCTACTGGTGAAATATCATTAATATTACAAATACTTCTGACATGGCAAGTACTGTACTAATTAGTATATAGGATGGGTGTACTGGTGAAATATCATTGATATTCCTGATACAGGATGAGCTAATGGTGAAATATCATTGATATTAATAATATTGGTGTGATTGCAAGTACTGTACTTATTAGTATACAGGATGAGCTCTTGTGAAATATTATTGATATTCCAGATACTGCTGTTATTGCAAGTACTTTACTAATTTGTATGCAGGATGTGCGACTCATGATTTATCATTGATATTCCTAATACTGCTGTTATTGCAAGTACTGTACTAATTAGTATACAGAATGAGCTACTGGTGAAATATCATTGATATTCATAATACTTCCGACATGGCAAGTACTGTATTAATTAGTATACAGGATGGTCTACTCGAGTAATATCATTGATATTCCTGATACTGCTATTATTGCAAGTACTAACCAGTATACAGGATGAGCTACTGGAGAAATATTATTGCTGTTCCTTATTCTTCCAACATGGCAAGAACTGTACTAATTAATATACAGTATGAGCTATTTGTAAAATATAATTGATATTCCAAATACTTCTAACATGGCAAGTACTGTACTATACAGGATGACTACACTGGTGAAATATCATTGATATTCCTAATACTACTGGCATGGCAAGTAATGTACAGTTATACAGGATGAGTACTCTTTAAATATCACTGATATTCCTAATACTACGGACATGGTAAATACTGTACTTTACAGGATGAGTGTACTAGTGAAATATCATTGATATTCTTAATACTTCAAATTCTGCTATGGCAAATACTGTACTATACAGGATGGGTGTACTAGTGAAATATCTTTGATATTCTTAATACTTCAAATTCTGACATGGCAAATACTGTATTATACAGGATGGGTGTTCTAGTGAAATATCATTCATATTCCTAATACTGGTGAGTGGTGACATGGCAAATACTGTACATGTACTATACAGGATGAGTATAAAAATGAAATATCATTGATATTCCTAATACTGGTGAGTGGTGACATGGCAAATACTGTACATGTACTATATAATACAGGATGAGTGTAAAAGTGAAATATCATTGATATTCCTAATACTGCTGGCATGACAAGTACTGTACTATGCAGGATGAGTGTAAAAGTGAAATATTACTATAAAGTTATGAGTGCTAGACCTATATGAAAAAATCAACCAAATCAGGGTGCATTAGTAGACAAGGTTAATCCATATAGCAGACATGATTCCTCATTGATACTTGCAATGGAATAAACAAAACTTTTTTCAAGTTCTTACTTAAATTTAGATGACCAACAGAGTTTAACCTCAATGAAGGTATTTGACAATATAAGCTAACTGAAACATTCAACAGTTTTCGGTAAGCTAATATAACAGACAACAGCCTTTAACTCAGTGTTTGTCTATGGTTGCTGTCGGTCATAATTGTTTTTTTTCTATTGTTTTGTCATAAATCAGGCCGTTGGTTTTCTTGTTTGCATTGTTTCACTTTTTGTCATGTCAAGGCCTTTACTAGCTGACTATATGGTATGGGTTTTTGCTCATTATTGAAGGCCAGACAGTGACTTATATTTGCTTTTTCCAAATATTTTGGACTATGGTGCATAATTGTCTCATTGGCAATCATACCATGTCTCCTTATTTTAAACTGATCCTACAGACAAAATGACAAACTATATAATCAACAAGACTCTTACTGGTAAGGGCTGGTAAAGTTTACCTGATAAATATTGTAGAAACAATAGTCTTGCAAGATCCAGAAACCCATATTTACATTTCTGTATATAAAACAAATTTGATAGATTAAAGAAATACAAACTGGGTATACGGTCATAAAACTTTACTTAGTAATCAGAGTGCTCTAAACACCACAACCAGAATTTTGATTGGTTAATTTCTGAGTCTGAGTACGATAATTGTACTTCATTTTTTTTAATGAGCACAATAACTGGAGTACCTTCAATTGATCCAACTTGTGGCCATGGCCAAACCTCAAAAGCTGAATGACTCTGATATTCAAAATGATGCAACACAATATCATTTTCATTTTTTAATATTTTTATGAATGGTTTTTCATAATTTTTTATATTCATTGTCCAGAATATCATTCTGATCAATTACATGTTTAACAATGATATGAAAATACAATAACTCTCTCTGCAGTTATCATTCATACAATGAAGACTGGAATAAAAATTAAATTATACACATAAAACAAGAATGAAGTTTTTCAATAATACATTTGAGAAGTATTATTATTGTCTTAAAATAAATCAACTGTATAAAATTTCAACTAAAATTCAACTTCTTAGGAAAAATGTTCTGTTATGAATCATGTAAAATTTTCTATCATAATCAAGACCTGATAATTCTAACATCAAATGCAAACATATGTGTGTGTATTTCTAATTTAAATCAAGTCCTGGGTATTTTCCCCATAAAACCTTAATAAACAAGAATGTCACTTTGACCTTGAGAATTCAAACTTAACCTGTTTTGAAAAATAAGTTTACACCAGTCTGTTTAAAATAAGCTCATTCAACACATTCTACAACCAAACGATTAATGAGTATAATATTTGTTTGCATGTCAACGACAGCATCTGAAATATCGGTAAAAATAAAAAAATATTTACATACATAAACCTTTATATCTTTTTTTTGGTTGAAGTTACAATTGTAAATTGATTATCTAACAATGTATAAAAGATACTGTAACAAAGTGGCATCCATAAAATGAATATTCTGCATTTTTTTTAATTATCCAAATTAAAAATTTCATATTATCAAATTTTAAAATTTATATATCTTAATTGAAAATTTACACAAAGTCTATAAAGGTATGATTATAAAAATTTCATAGATCAACCAAAATGGAAAAAAAATATATGATAAAATTTTCAGAAAAATTGACAATAGGATAAAAATAAATGTAGAGAAATCTACAGTAAAGCACCATGAAAATACAGAGAGGTACCTAACTCGTTTTATAAAAATAATTGCACAATAAGCTATGAGGGTCTGGATAGGTTTAGAGAATAGAAAATCATGGGCCAATACAGAATAGAGGAAAAAATGGGACAAAAAAAAATAAAGAACAGAGAATAATGGAAAAAAAAAGAATAGAGAATAATTGGCAAAAAAAAAAAATAAAGAATAGAGAATAATGGGAAAAAAAAGAACAGAGAATAATTGGCAAAAAAAAAGATAAAGAACAGAGAATAATGGGCAAAAGAAATTAAGAATACAGAAATCAAGACCCTCATCCAGACCCTCAACTATCCACTAACAAAAGTGCATTGAATGTGAATTCACAGTAAATCAGAGGTTCTGTGAAGAATAAATCATGAAAAAAGTACTTTTTTTCATGCTGAAATATACTTTTTCTTTGAAAATTTGAAATAAAACAAAATTCAAATTCAAATATTTTTAACACATGGATATGAATTTTAAAATTTCTCACAACAAAATAAACTGTCCAAAGACCTTATGAGTCTTTTATATGGTGTTGTGAAAACAAAGTATACTAAAACAGGAGAATATCATCAGTATTTTACCATTTAATTTTAAAACTGCAGAATAAAATCAGCATTTCATCACTTAATTTTAAAACTGCAAAATAAAATCTGCATTTTGTCACTTTAACTGTATACTTATGTGATACAATGTAGTACGAACAATGGTAAAATATATTTGGTAATGAAATCACTGATAAAAATGATTGGAAATAAAAATAGTGATATGCTTACGGTAAAAATAAAAGAACACAATATATTTATTATATAGTCAGCTTGTTTAGTAGTTCAGAACAGTATGAAATATATATGAGATCAATTCCTTAACACAACATGCAAAACACTTAAATTTTAAAATTTATGCAAATTAACTTCTATATTGTTTGTGGACATAGCAGCCTGTTTGTTTACATAGCAACTGTTCCACAACAGAGAAACATGAAGGGAATGGAAAGGGTCTCATTTCCTTTTTGATTTTTTTTTAAATTTATAAAAAATCATAATAGAATTATCTTTAAAGATTTTAATAATATAGACCCTCAAATTCTGTTACATAATTTTTTTAAAAAATAATTTAAATAATAAAACTGAATGACCACCTCGATTTTTGCTACTATATGTCTTAAATTACTACAGTATGCACACAATTCCATGAAACTAAATTTGAATTATAGACTATCGACTCAATAATGAATGAAATTTGAATTTACAATCTATAGATGAATACTTTACAAAGTACTAAATTTCAACATAACAAACTTTGTGTAGAAAATCAATATAAACAAATTACATGTAGTTAGCACAGAAAAAAATACATTCCATATGCATGCAAAAAAAAATTTCTTACTGTCCTGAACTACTGCAGAATACTAACAAATGACCGACAAGTGATATGATGACCCAGCACTGCATGTGCCTTAAATTACAACAACCAAAATAACACATTGTTTTGGCTCAGGCTACATAAAATTAATACCTAGATTCTCATCAACAAAAACCCAACATTTCAGCCATAAAGATGCTTACAGTATTTTTTTATTTGAAATTTCTGCCACGTTGAGGTCTTCTGTTTTATATAAATGTCTAACCGTAGAAAAATATAAGATCCATTGTCTACTTTAAGTAAATTGTTCAAAACTTGCAACAGAAAAAGAAAGAGAGAAACAGCCAACCCACCGGATTTTACAAAAAAAAAAAAACAAATGCGATAAAACTCTAGGTATTATATTAATATAGCCTATTTCAACAACCATTTAAGTCACAACCATTTACATAAAATCACAGCTTTGTTAATGAATTATTTACAACATTGTACCATAAATGGAAAATTATGCTACAGTGACCTACATATATTAGAAATTTACAGATGTTGGTCACCTTAACCTTCTCTGTATGTACATTTACAGCATTTATTACAATAACCTGAATCTTTGACATGACTGATGGCAAAAGCTTTACACAAACAATTAAAAAACGCTACAAAATTTCGTGCTTTTAAAAAGTCTTTTTACAAAACTAGGACTGAAAATGTACGTTTTTTTTCCAGATATTTTAGCTCAATACATTGTACTTCCAACATTATTTATATATCCAATTTGAAATAATACTTTAAAGAATCTACCTCATTCATTTTGTTTTTGTATTCTTAAGTATGCAAAGTCTTTCCAATCAGTAACTTTTCCTAACTTTAAAGACTGATGTTTTAATTCAACCAAAATAAATAAATTTAAAAACAATGTCACATGTCACTATTAATATTTAATTACCTTCCCTTTCACAAAGTAGTATTATCTCCCCTTAACTGAGATCAATTCAATGATTACCTTAAAGCTTTGTAGAATGATACATGTAAATAGCATTATATTATACAACATAGTTTTAGGTTAAATAATCCTTATGGAATGTTAATTATATAATAAACTCCAAAAATAAGTCATAAATCTTTCATACTTGATGCAGGTTGACCAATTCAAAAATTCAATTTCCATTCTTTGAAAATTAAAAGGATGAATTGGCAAGCTAAAAATATTTAGAGAAACCATGTCCCTTTGTTGCAATAGTTCTAGGAATTGGGGGATATTGAATTTAATCCCCCCATGTGACTTCAAACCAACATATACCCGAATTAATGTTTCTCATCAGTTCTTTCAAATGACTTATTTGTCTGTTTATCATTTATGCATTTTTAATTCTATGGCACTAAATTACTCAAAATATTTACAATTTAGAAACTGTACAACTATTTACAAAAGAGGACATATACATCATGGACAAAAATAATGTAAAAACAGCTAAAAGGTAAATAAAATACCCCTTTCGTTATAAATGAATTAAACAGGACTACAATATTATCCCCCTTTGTCAAATGTTGACATTGGTTTTTTTTATGACTGCAAATCAGAAGTGTTTATGCTGTCATACTTTTTATTAGTTACAACTATCTTCTTAGAGAGTTTTTTACTCTGCATTATCATATTTTTGTTTGTTAATAACTTGTAATTGTCGGAAGAAATTGGTTTATTTGTAGAGAACGTCCATTGAAAACAATTTAAACAGTTACATGTACAGTACAAAGCAGATTTTACTGACAATGGGATTTCAGAATTCAATTTAAGTCAATGATTTGGTTTAATATTTGCACATAAAATTGTCTGTCAAGATAGCAAATAAAAATCTCAGTTCAAGTAGTCCTTCGTATTCCAAACAAAAAATTAAGAGCAAAACTCTTTGTCACTAAAAATATTTTTTTCATGATTAATCCATGAAAAGTACTATTTTTGACATTCAACTTGGCAGCACCATGTTAAAACATAAAATAACAAATCTTCATAACACATAAAAATATTTGACATCATTAACAAATTATTGGTATAGCTATTACACAGTATAAATCAAAACAAAACAAATACTTAACAATAAGATGCAAGAGATAGAAATTAACATAGCGCACATAAATTGACATTCTCATAAACAATGATAAACATGCAAATGAAATAAATTGCTTAAGATATGAAAACTATGTATACCATGTATACACAGGTAGAATACTGCTGAAAAAAAGTCAAATTTCAATAACATTTGAACAAATAAAAAATCTAATTTTTCCAAGTTTTTTCACGTAATAGACATTTACACATTTATTTAACCAATAAGTAAAAAAAAATCATATTTTTGGTTTCTATTGATATTATAAATTATACATTTTTGTACCTTCCATGATACTTTTCAAAATACAATTTGTAAATGTATTACCGTAACAATATTGTTACATTTTTGACAAAGTTTTACGTTTTCCTGAAATAATGTTGCAATTTCCAACATACAGTGTGTGTATGCATAATGTTAATTTCTACCCGATGCATATCAAATAACAAAAATCAGGGCTACAGCACAAAAGTAAACAATATATAACAAAGGAAGTTTTAATTATGAGGTGATAGCTTGCCCTTCATGTAGTCTGTCCATCTTTTCGATGTTGAAGTGAACAAAGGGTCATTGTCAATTAAACTAAGTAGATTTAGTTGATTAATATGAACTGTATGGTAATCCCATCTTGCACGATTAGGAGCGCCACCTAGTGTCAAATGTCTCAAGTCATAAAATGTCCCCGAGCCTGAATCAAACATTAATAACATGTTTTTCAATGTCTTCATGCCAACATCAAATAGTCTTGTGGCATGTTCGGCACCCTTGCCCGATGCCACTTCTTTTAAGTCATATAATCCTAATAATGAATATATAAATCCATTTAAAACATAACTTGAGGGTGTAGTTGGGTACTCCTCATACCAATCGTACACTCCTGCAAACTTAGTCAACACACCACCATCACCGCTTTTAATTCCAAACACGTCTAGCGCTCTCTCTGCAGCGTCTAAATATTTTTGGTCTTTTGAAACAATAAATGCTCTCACTAACAGTGATATTGACTGACCTTGACCCATTGCAGAGTACCACCCTGCATCAAGTTCAAGGACAGCAGGAACAAGCTTCCTTTGGACCATGATTGGCCATCCTCCCTGATCATCTTGCTGATTTACTAAATAATTAGCAGCATCAAAGAAATGTTCAAGATGAGCAGCAGACGACAGTGTAACATTATCAACCAATCCATGTCCACGTAAACAAATCGCTGCTATTCTTGCATTTCTTTTAAATTTTGCCACTTTCGATTTAGACATTGATAGAGCTAATCCTTTTTGAAAGTCGACCATTACCATTCTTGTAATGTGTAGCCATTTACCTCTAGCCTTTGACCCTAAGCCATAATAAAGGTCACGTTTTTGAAGGTAAATCAGAGTATCTCCCAACACATAATGAATTCTGAACAAATTTCCATCTCCTGTCCGTAGCAAAACCGTTAGACTTCCGTTCGAAATAAATTTAATGTCTAAAGATAAAGTTGATAACTTCTTCTCGTCCATCGAAATTGTAATTCCAGGGTTCTTTAGGTTTTCTGTAAAATATAAAAATTATTGATTCTGCATTCAAAATTCTATAAAGACAATGAAAGAAGAAGATACTACAAAAAGATCATATCCTCCATCCAAAACAATGTTGTTTTAATACTATATGAACACAATATCAAAACTGAATACAGAAACTTTGATTTTTTGGGTTATTGTAATTGACCGTTTAAAAATTGTGTAAATTCAGTTTTTGTGCATGTATTTATTTCTTCAAATCTCTGCATCCATCCAATATCGAAATATGTGAGATAAATTACCCATAATGTGTTGTAATAGACTATTAATTAGGCATTACCAATAAAAATGAAAATGCAACTTTTTATTAATGTGATCAGTGTCCTGCCTTATTTTTTGCATAACCTAAAACATCAAAATAACTTCTGAATCTTTAAACTGTGATTGATTTGCTTAACTTCCAGTGGCAAATATTTCATACATGTTTAGGACAATTATGAACTATAGAAGTATAATCATATGTTATAAACAATATTTACAATTTAATAATTGAAAGCATAATTTTTCTTTGGATTTGGATTTAAAAAAATTAATGAAATTAAAATATGAAGTGTTGTTTTTCTTTAAATGAAAACAAGTGAAACTGTGAGCTACTGCTCACTGATGATACCCCCGCCCAAATACTTGACGGTAAACAGGAATCTGAAAACGCATCACACGGTATAGCTGACTTATATAAACCCTGAAACCAAATTTCAGAAATCCTTGTAGTGTAGTTCCTGAGAAAGATGCGACGAAAAATATTCAAGGGACAGACGGACGGATGGATGGACGGATGGATGGACGGAGGTAAAACAGTATACCCCCACTTTTTTAAAGCGGGGGTATAATAATTTGGTTAAAATTGCTTTCATCTTAACTATTTCTATACTTCAAAGACATATATACCTGATGTATCAAATTCAATGATGCTGTTGTCGGTAAAATCTGCATCAGTTTTAACAGCCAACTGAGATCTTCTATCAGGTAAGAGCCATTCTGATGTATCACCTGACTCTCCATCTTCTAGGACCTGGACCTTTGGTTTAGGTCCAGCCAGATGTTTACTGTAATGACTTAGACCAAATTGGGCTATCTGTATTGGATAATAATGGCCACTGGAGGTCCACTGGGTTGACATTGGTACACCTGTTTTCAAAAAAGAGGTACTATCTCATGTACAAAAAAAATCATATCTAAACTTTACCTCACAAATAACCTTGGAAATAAATTAACAAAAATGTGAAACTTTGTGCAGGAAAAAAATGATGAAAGATGTTTATTAAGAATGAGCATTCAAGATAAAAACTCACTCTCTATGGGTTTTCTGAGTTATTTTTTTGTGTTTGGTAAGTCTTATATTTTTAGGCTCCATACTGTGATATACTGGTACATTATTATCTAATTCTTAACCTTTTAACTATCATGACTATCGAATCAATTGATAAACCAGGGAGGATTGCCTCCCCTGACTCTGTGAGACAAAATGTATAAATTTATGTTATATGTAAAAACCAATAATTATTCTATCAATCATGTATGGGAATGGATTTATATAGCCTGAACTTTTATCCAATCCCTTTGTCTAAATAAAATTGATTTAAACAATAAAATCTTTGAATTGAATTGTAATATTTAACCGATTATTAAGTTACATAACTAAATATGTCGTAAAAATTTCTGGTTGATGAAACTAAGTAATCTTTCCAGCAGCTGACACACAATAATAAATGATCTTCAAATAATTCTGAATAAGTTTGTACTCTAACAGGCATTGTAATTATCAAACATCTGAATGAGGGGCTTTTAAAAATATAATTGTGGGAACAACATAATATTTGAACCATAATATTTTATTCTCGTACAAGTAGTTTACGGTAAACCTACTTATTTTTTGCTGAAAATTATTTCCATGCTTGGATGTTTTAAACGATTTTAAAGCAAACTATTTCCATGATTTTATAGCCTTCTTGATTTTTTCAAAAGGTAGTCCAAGTTTGACATATTCCTGGCAATCAGTTTTCCCTTTATTTGTCAACTCACAAAAGTCACTAAAATAAACAGTACACGAAAATTGGTTGGTTGACAGTATCAAATTTTTTCCTATTTTTAATTTTTTTTACCATATTGGCCAGTGAGACATTTAACTCTGTTGCGCTCCTCCACGTTATAGAACTCAAATGACATAAAGATGCCACCTGGTGAGTATTGATCTGGGATGGGATGGACTTTGGAATAACTGTGCTGGAATTCAAACCTCTCATATCCATCATATGATTCAATGGATCCATAAACCTAAAACAAATTAGAAAAAACTTGCAAATACGTAATTTCTCTAAACATACTAAATCATGTAAATACAGGTATATAAAATTTCAAAAATCTTTTCTTTCAGTCTTTCAAATAAGTAAAAGTTTGGATCTTTACATATCATCTAATGGTTACACGCATGCAAAATTGTACATCATTGAGGACCATTTTTGACTTAGATGTCTTTTTTGTCTTACTATATTGTTAGGTTCCTGTCTTTAATATGTTTACTACACACCCCCTTTCATTCACATAAAATTAATTTCATCAGCCTTCTAAAAATTGTTCTCTGAATCTGTTTTGTCTTACAATAATGTTTGGGTTTTGTCTTTTTATGTTTACTGCACACCCCCTTTCATCTCCTTTAATTCATATTGAATTATTAATGTCATTAGCCTTTTAAAATTTGTTGTCTGAAAGTGTTACTTTCAAGAAATGATACTATTATCATACTATAGCTATCATTTAACAAAGTGTAATAGCAAGATTGGATTATCTCCCTTACCACATAGAAGAAATGTATATGGTCACTTTTGAGTTTGAAATAATAAATTGCTTACCTCAAAATACTTCTGAATAAATGAAAATGGCATGTAAACTTCTTTAGCTTCTCTACGACATTTCTGGGAATCTTCTCCATTGATGACACATTCTATTTCCTTATACTTCAATGTGTTTTTGTTACTATTTTCTTTAAAAGACTGTGCAACACGGGGTTGAAATCCTACATTTTCCCTGCAATGAAATAATGAAAATTAGAGACCCTGGAATTTTATATATGCTGTTTCAAATCTCCCTAATATAATCAACATAAACTACAATCATGTCAGCAAAGGTGTCTATTATGATATTGTGTTGCATAGTTTTCACTTACTGCAAAGCATCTTAAATACTTTTCATTTTTGCAAAATGTTACCTTACTTGAAACAATGAGGGCTAAGAACCATCTCACCAAAAAATTCATCAAACTTGTCAAATAAGTCTACAATGTGTGTTACTCCAAATGAAACTTTCAAAAAAATCTATCACCAAATTTCGACTAAGCAGGAGCAACTTGACAGGAGCTACTAGTGTAGCAGGATCTGTCTGCTTACCATTGCAGAGCACCAAACATCATCTTGAGTATTTGGTGGGGTTCATGTTGCTCAGTACTTAGTTTTCTATGTAGTGTTTTGTGGACTTGTCTTTTTGTCGCTGTTTTTCGTCTTTTTGTCGTTATTTTTCGTCTTTTTGTTGTTGTTTTTCGTCTTTTTGTCGTTGTTTTTTCGTCTTTTTGTCGTTGTTTTTCATTTGTTTGCCATGGTGTAGTAAATTTCTCTTTGACTTATGAGCTATGTACCTTCCATCTCTTTTTTACAGTTTTACCTTATCATCTGTATGTTCAACTAACAGATACTAACACCCATGAGGACCAATGTCTTTTGTGCATGCATAAAGACAATAGGCTTTACACTATTCAAAACAAATGGAACTAGTCTGATAGGGTTAGACCTCTTATTTCGTACAGAAATCAGTAGAAATTATCATTCCTGTGTCTAGTTCCACAGGTGCCCTACTGATAAACAATAACTAAAGTACCTAACAAATGTTAATGTACATGTTGTATGTAAAGACATTAATCAGATGGATTCTCTATTCCAACACCTGTTGCCACAAACTTATTCAAAACAAATGACAATAGCCTGTTTCATAGCAGTAGAAATTATCATCCCTGCGTCCAGTGTAACAGGTGCCCCTACCTCTCAGTCTGGTAAAAAATAAATAAAGTACATAAAAAAATATATATAAAGAAGAGGATACTCTGTCCACAGACACATGTAACCCCAAATCAGGCTTTTCGTACATGTAGATACTCATACTCAATCATCATGATCATCCCTGAGTACAATGTCACAGGTTACCCACTGATAATCAACAACTGAAGTACAGAAACATAAATAAAGTACATAAAAAAATGTATATAAAGAAGAGGATACTCTGTCCACAGACACATGTAACCCCAAATCAGGCTTTTCATACATGTAGATACTCATACTCAATCATCCCTGAGTACAGATACTCATACTCAATCATCATGATCATCCCTGAGTACAATCACTGATAATCAACAACTGAAGTACAGAAACACATGTATATATAAAGAAGACAATACTCTGCCCACTAACACATGTTGCCCAAAACCACACTCTTCATACATTGTAGAATACTAGCTCTTTACCAATTATTCCTACCTGTGTCCACTGTCACTGGTTCCCCACTGATAAACTAAAGTACAGAAACATCTGTATATAAACATGATAAAGAAGACAATATTTTTGCCCACTAACACATGCTGCCCCATAAAAAAACAAGAATGTGTCCATAGTACACGGATGCCCCACTCACACTATCATTTTCTATGTTCAGTGGACCATGAAATTGGGGTCAAAACTTGGCATTAAAATTAGAAAGATAATATCATAGGGAACATGTGTACTAAGTTTCAAGTTGATTGGACTTCAACTTCATCAAAAACTACCTTGACCAAAAACTTTAACCTGAAGTGGGACAGACGGATGAACGGACGGACGAACGAACAAACGGATGAACGGACGCACAGACCGAAAAACATAATGCCCCTCTACTATCAAAGGTGGGGCATAAAAACATGTTGTCCCATATCAGGCTCTTCATACATTGTAGATACTCATACCCAATTAATCCTCCCTTTGTCCATCACAAACAGGCACCCCACTGATAAACAGCAACTATAACATATTAAGTAGGTCTAAAATAACTAAAGTACAGAAACACATATGTATAAAGAAGATGATACCCTGTCCCCCAACACATGTTTCCCAAAATCAGTAGTTAATCCTCCCTTTGTCCAGTGTCAAAGGTTTCCACTGATAAACAGCTACTAGAACATATAAAAAGTAGATGATACCCTGTCAAACAACAACTGTCTAAATTCACGATCTTGATACATACCGATAGAAATTATCATCCCTGTGTCCAATGTCACAGCTGCCCCACTGATAAACAGTGACCATTACAGAAAAGATTCCTAATGATAGTATAGCACTTTTTAATGACACCCGTGCCATGGTATGCTTGTATACATCAACCTGAAAATAAAAAAATATTTAAAACTTGAGATATGCTTATATATAATTATAACATCATGGGAGTATTTTTGTTAAAGCTAAATTCAGAAAATATAATGTAAAATTTCAAACAATAATGAAACATTCCCTTATCATGCTTCAATAAAAAGTCCAGATTATTTTTTACTTCATCTACAGATACAAATATAGAAGGGAAAATACTTAACGTTGCCACATATTCTTTAAATTCATAACATTAATTATCTTGTAAATTAACAACTGTGTAACTTACGTGCAATATACATGATGCAATATAAATGACGTAAAAGATGTACATTTACATAAAAACATCATGTGTACAACAGAAAATGTACATTAAGTATACATTTTTTCTAGAAGAAACTGTATTAGAAATGAAAATTTTCATCATAAGTTTATTTGCGTCAATGACTCTTGAGATGTCAAGTATCAGTTAAAGTGGCTCAATTGGAAAACTCTTAAAAAAAGTGTTGAATAACTTCCTTATATATTTTATACACATACTTGTTACACATGCATTATGTCATTTCATATTTAGGCTACTAGATCATCATTATGAACCAAACCTCAAATTGGTTCATTTATTTTTAGACCAAGTTTTGGGGATGGTTTCTTGTACCAGCCATGCCAGCATAAAGAACAGTTTTAGTACACAAATAAACCTCCACTTGTCAAATTGTTTTCATGTGTGTTGCCATTAACTCAATATTGAATAATAATGAAAATAAAAATTTTTGTTTAAGTTTGGATTCGTTTACATGTGTATAATAAGTTTTACTTAAATATTCATAAATGAGATATTATAACAATACCTATTATCATGATTATTACATGAACAAACATGACAGATGAAAATATAAATTTTATAATAATAATAAGCACAGCTTAGTAAATCCAAGGTTCTACCTTATAACTGTTTATAATCATAAAGTTCTAGGAACAAGTAATTTGTTTTGGTTCAAGTTAAAATAAAATTGTAATTTAATAATTTATTTATACACAACTTTTTAGACTTGTAAGGATTTATAGCTTGATATACAGCATCAACATGTATATTCAGACACCGGTCTATTGTTTAAGACTTCATGTAGAATTTAGATCAAATTCCTTTTGGTTATTTGTGTCAATGGGTTGCTGTCTCATTGACCTTTATTCCCACATATCCTTCATTATTCATAATCACTGTAACTAAAATAACTGGCACCAGTATTAAAAGAATGATGATGCAATAATATATTTACAACTGTTCATTTGGACTTTACATGCTGACATTATAAACTTCCTCTAGATCTACATGTATGATCAATGGAATAGAAGTTTGTTTGTCTTTTTTGTCTCAAATGGAAGAAATATTACAGTATTTTTTCCTGACGGAATATGAGGTATATAATATTTTTCCATCAGGAACAGATACAAAATCTGTGTTTATAACAAAGTTTCCAAAGGAACTTCTGAATGGAGGAACAAATTTACGTTGACATCTCCATTCTTTTAATATTTTCAAACTGAAATGACTTACTGGATGAACAAAATTATTTTAACTTGACCACATTTTATCTAATCGATATTCCAAAATGAAAACAAACATGTGCTGATTGAAATAAAATTGGAAACACGGTTTTAACAGCTGGTGTAAATTAAATCACCATGAAAGATATCTGTATACCAAAAGAAGAACTTCAAGAAGGAGAGTAGAAGACATCTCATTCGTATCTATTTTTTATTTGCAATAAATGGTTATGAGATATTCGGAAATTTTCGGTTATGTTAATCAATATACATTAATATAAATATACATGTAACAGAGTAATCAGGTAAGTGAAAGGTATAAAGTTCATGAAGTTCATGGAGTTCAATATATTTCATTCCTGTACGAAATGGGACGCCCGTAAATGACACGGAAACCAGGCGTAGAAATCATACTTTATCAGGGCGTCATTGTAGTGTTTAGAGAATGCATGTCCAGGCGTCAACCAGGCGTAAACCAGGCGGAAACCAAGCGTAACTGAGGCGGAAACCAGGCGTAAAATTAGGCGTAATATTTAAATGAGTACGCCTGGTCCACAGAAAACCAGGCGTTATATGCAAATGAGTACGCCTTCTCAATAAAAAAAGCAGGCGTAATATCCTTACATAATACTACACTTATTTTAAATCAGTGTATTACCCTAGCTGTGTACTTTTGTGTATTTGATACAAACTTCTACTATTGCTTAAATTTCTCATTTTTTGACATGAAACTTGAAATATTAACCATTAATTGATGAAGCTATATAAATAAATATATACATATTAGACAGACACTGGCTCAAATAAGTTTAAGTTTAAATTAGAATTATGACAATTAATTCTTACTGAAATAAAACCAGCATTTTAACTAAGTGTTTTTTTTTAAATTAATGTCATTTGAACCAAAATATCAATGATAATACTGCAATTTAACTTAATGTGAAAGATTTTAATGTTATCATCCAAGGATGAAGGTTTTCAGAATTCAAAATTACTGTTAAAAAATAAAACTTAGTTACTCACATAATTATCTTTTACCATGTATATTACTTTCATTTATTTCACAATTTTCATTAATCAATTTGATTCCATAATTCCAATTTCAAATTCTTCCAAAAAGCACAAAACAAGCTTAATTATCCCTGAATATATAAAGCTGCCATAAGTCCAACTCTTGCAAAATAATACCAAGGAGAAAAATTTTGAAAAAAAAATCCCATGATCCTTTATCAACAAAGCATTATGGGTATTATGATTTACGCCATACCAACAGTTTTACGCCCGTAGGAAAATTTACGCCTTGCTTATTTCAATTTACACCAGGTTTACCATATTTTCTACGCCCGTAAGGACTACAAATTTACGTTTCCTGTTCCCTTACGCCTGGATCTGGACACGTAACTACCACTTACGCCTGGTTTACGCCAGATTTCCAGGCGTAATACGCCTTATAATTTCGTACGGGTTATATTGTTCAATCATAACAACCATCTTAAACACTGTATCTTAAAATTCATAATCTTACCCATGACAACATTGATTATCTGTCAAAATTTCAAGTGAAGTACAATCATCCTTTGTTCTTAATTCCTAATTAATTCATAGAAAAAAGAAATATTCCGCAAATATGTAATCCAGATGCCAGACATAACTTATACCTCCTTTACTGAAGAGTAAATTCTAAGGGAAGTAATCCACGTCGAAAATTTACCTGCTTGAAACAGCACAGGTGTGGTCTATTCACATTATGGTGATTTTGGTAGAATGGAAACAAGTTAAATTTCACGATAGCTCACTACAATACAAAACATTTTAAAATGCCACGAAAAACTCAGGTTATATTAAATTGAAAAGATTCTATTTTGTAATTGAGTAAAATCAATTAAACAATAGATGTCCTAATATGATAATGAGGGTGTAATTATACAAATGATTTTATTTTTTGTACAAGGCACCACAGTTGTATATTATTAGCTTCATCTCATCTGCTTGTCACTATATATCATAAGTAATAGATACCCTTTAAATAATCAATTAAATATGTAAAATAAGCAAATAAAGTATGACAAATGTTGCCTGCATCAAATTACTAGATCATATTTGCTATTAACAAATGGTAATAATTAGTTGATATTACATCTGTAGTATTATGTTTTTTATGGGACACGTTTTTGAAAAGATTTTATTCAATTTATTATGCATTGGATTATAACTGAAAAGATAAAAAAAAATCCATTTATTTGATTTAATACCAGGTTTCAACTGAATTAAATTTGATATTAAAATGATTTTTTTTTAACTCAGTCCAAGGATTTGTATAGTGAGATTACTCATAAAACAAATCCTTGCTCAGTCCTTAAATTATTTCAAGCTCACAACATGCACTTAATTTAGGTAACATTCAGCTATTGTTTAATTAAGCTAATAAGTTCCCAACTTAGAATTATTACCCTTTTGTAATAATTTTTTTTTTTATCAAATTCACATTTCTTTGAGAAAAAAAATGTTGGGTTATACAGTTATGTTTCCTTCAGATTTTGGTATCTATATATATATATACATTGGCAAAGTAGAAAAAAAGTATAATTAATAAAAGAAATTTATAAATCAATGAAATGATAAAAAATAAATAAAAAACAAAACTTTTAACTATTGTCACCTGCGAAACCTAAAACTACATTATAAGGTAGTTATATATCTTAATTAATTTGAAATTTCCTGAAACATGTATATACAAGATACACTGTACATGTGCATGTAGTTGCAATGCAATGAGACAGTCATCCACAATAGATCATTGGGAAAGTTATTTTAATGACTGACCTCTGAATGTCTAGTTATGTGAACTTTGCAGTTTTATTCCTGTGAAACTGTCGCACAGACACTTATCCATTTGAATGTTGATGTTCTATCTTTGAGACTCTTGAAAATGAATTTTTCTCAATGGCCAGATGTTTTTATTTTTTACCAACATTTCAAAATTGCAAGTGATAATTATATCAATCCTATTTTCAACTCAGCACTACCGAAAGGCAGGGTCAGGGTTGCTTTTAACTTAGTGACAAACAGGTGATAATAGGTTCAGTAGGAGGGGTAGTGTTTAATAACTTTCCAAACTTGAGATAATTGAACAATTTTATCAGAGAGATACCATTTTTTGTTTGTGGTTGTCCCACAATATTGTTGACCAAATTTTACTAACATCAAAGAGAATATAATCTAACAACGATAGAACTAATCTTAATTTTCATAATGATACTCAGAAAACTCCATAAAAATGGATAAATAGTAATTGGTAATAATACGATATCTCCTTCATTTTACATACAGTAGCAGTGGTCAAAATGTAATAATGTAAATAGGTTAGATAAACAAAGGATATGGGGTATCCATCTATGGCCCACCTAACCTTAACATTTGGAGGTTCTAGTCTGGCTAATTAATTAGTGTATTTAAGCCACTGTACATAATGT